ATAATAGTCCTAAAGAATATTTCCCTACATGTATACCTATAATTATATCTTAGTTCATAATCGGAGGAATGCCTAGAGTGGACACAGTACAGAGCATGAATTAAGGAATAAGCAGCTTATAATCTGAGAAATGCCTAGAGCAGATACAGCGCAGAGCATGAATTAAGGGAAAGACAGTTATACTAGGACAAGAATCCATGGCCCAGGCGGCAGCGTTCAGCATCGTAAAGATACCCGCTGTATGGCAGGCTTGGGGCGAGAGCCACTCCTCCTGATAAAGGAGTTGTAGGACCTTGCTCCAGTTCTTGTGAAAGGCTTGCCCGCAGAACAGCAATCCACCCTGGTGACTGTGAACTTTATCAGCTCTTGCTACTGTGCTGCTTGAAAAGCATCTCCCCATAAAATCCATTGGAAGCTGCCAGAAGGTGGCGGTAACCTTGACAGCTCTGTCACTGCTATGTGACTTAAAGCATTCTCCCATAAATCTTCTTAGAAGTAGTTTCCCGGGCTGGGCACGGTGGCTCACGCCTGTAATCCCAGCACTTTGGGAGGTCGAGGCGGGTGGATCATGAGGTCAAGAGATCGAGACAATCCTGGTCAACATGGTGAAACCCAGTCTCTACTAAAAATACAAAAAATTGGGCCAGGCGTGGTGGCTCACGCCTGTAATCCCAGCACTTTGAGAGGCCGAGGCGGGTGGATCACGAGGTCAAGAGATCGAGACCATCCTGGTCAACACAGTAAAACCCCGTCTCTACTAAAACTACAAAAAATTAGCTGGGCATGGTGGCACATGCCTGTAATCCCAGCTACTCAGGAGGCTGAGACAGGAGAATTGCCTGAACCCAGGAGGCGGAGGTTGCGGTGAGCCGAGATCGCGCCATTGCACTCCAGCCTGGGTAACAAGAGTGAAACTCTGTCTCAAAAAAAAAAACAAAAAAAAAAAAAAATCAGCTGGGCACAGTGGCGCGTGCCTGTAATCCCAGCTACTCAGGAGGCTGAAGCAGGAGAATTGCCTGAACCCAGGAGGCGAGGTTGCGGTGAGCCGAGATTGCGTCATTTCACTCCAGCCTGGGTAACAAGAGCGAAACTCCATCTCAAAACTCCATCTCAAAAAAAAAAAAAAAAGAAAGAAAGAGTTTCCCATAGATAGAAGTATCGCACACTGCACCATCTTCACTTCGCACGGCCCACCTTCAAGCCTCAGTGACCTAATACCTAATGGGGGTGGACCCCTTACTGCACACAGCCCTTGCCTTCATGGGAACCGGGCCCTTGCCTTCGTGGGAACAGGCCCCTTGCTGCACGCTGTCCACCTCCTGGCCTAGGTGACCTAATGGCAGTGGACCCTATGTTTTATTGCTCACTACCCTATCAATATCCTTAAAGATGATTTCACTCAGTGCCCTACCCCCTAACCTATACACAATAAATACTCATGCTTCTGGACATTCGGGGTCTCGCCAGCCGCTCGCCGCTTATAGGTGGCGTGGACCCCCGAGCCCAGCTGCATTTTCTTTGTACTTCTGTGTCCTGTCTTTTTATTTCTCGGATCCTGTGCCTCAGCACAGCATAAGGCTCACCCCACGACCCTGTGGGGCACTCAGCCCTACATCTGGCTCCGTACACTGTGCTTCAGCCTGGGCAACAAGAGCAAAACACCATCTCAAAAAAAAAACCTTAGCCGGGCATGGTCGCATGAACCTGTAATCCCAGCAACCTGGGAGGCTGAGGCAGGAGGATTGTTTGAATCAGGGAGGCAGAGGTTGCAGTGAGTTGAGATTGTACAACTGCACTCCAGTCTGGGTCTGGGCGACAGTGTGAGACTTTGTCTCAAAAAAAAAAAAGAAATTCAAAGAAAGAATATGAAAGAAAATAAAACACAATTTAAAGAAACAGAAAACAATCTCTACAATAATTCTGTGAAAATGCTAATAAAGTACACAAACACCTGGCAAATCCAATAAATGGAAGGAAAAAAGATGGAAAAGGGGCTGTGCACAGTGGCTCACACCTGTAATCTCAGCAGTCTGAAAGGCCAAAATGGGTGGATCTCTTGAGCCCAGGAGTTCAAGACCAGACTGTGCAATATGGCAAAACCCCATCTTTACAAAAAATACAAAAATTAGCCAGGCACATAGTTGTAGTCTCAGCTACTTGAGAGGATGAAGTGGGAGAATTGCTTGCACCCAGGAAGCAGAGGCTGTAGTGAGTCGAGATCATACCATTGCACTCCAGCTGGGGTGACAGAGCCAGAGCCAGATCCTATCTCAAAAATAACAACAACAAAAAGAAAATAGATAGAAAGGTAGAAAAGGAAATGGTACTAAGAAGCAAAAAAAGGAAGGAGTGTATATTTAGCACAACCTGAACAATCATTTTAAATAGATTTTTTTTAAAAAAAGAACAAAAGGCCAGGCATGGTTGGCTCATGCCTGTATTACCCATACTTTGGGAGGCCTAGACAGGAAGACTGCTTGAGCCCAGGAGTTTAAGCTTCACCTGGCCAATATAGTGAGACTCCATCTCTATAAAAAGATATCAAAATATAGCAGGCCTTGGTGGCACATGCCTGTAGCCCCAGCTACTTGGAAGGCTGGGGTGGGAGGATCACTTGACCCCAGGAGGCACAGAAATAGTTCTCCGAGTGTGGTCCAGGGACTCTGGGGTTCCATGCATTCAAGTCTGTGTTCACAACACTAAGAGGACACATTAGAAGCACTTGTAGTAGAGTCAGCGACAAGAGAGGAATGCTCCCTTTCCCTGCTGCTATTCAAGATCCTAGCCAACGCAGTAAGTCACAGAAAAAGAAATACAAGCTATAAGGATCAGAAGAAAAAAGACAAAATTGTCATTCTTTGAGAATGATAAAAATATTTTACACTAAATCCAAGAGTATCAATCCACTGTTGGGATGACAGTATTCAACAGCATTGCCATATACAAGGTCAATACAGAATAATTAATACCACTCCTATTTGTTAGCAATCAGCAACCAAAAACTGACCATTCACAATAGCTACAAAAACTATACAGTACATTAAAAGTCTTAAAAAAAAGGTATGTATGTAATAGACATTATAAAACTATTGAAGGGCCTTAGAAAGACCTATGGAGAAACAGACAACATTTCTAAGTAGGAGGCTCAATAATATAAAGATGTCAATTCTCCCCAAGTTAATTTATTCTGTGCAATTATAATAAACACTTCAACAGGACATGATATATGACCAAAATGACTCCAAATATCACACGAAATAGTAATGATCTAAAATCAGCCAAAGGAGGCAAGGGTGTGCCCTACTAGATATCAAGACTTAGGCTGTGGTAATGGAAAGTGAAGTTTAAGTACAAGAAGAAAGATAATGGAAGACATCTATGCATATGTTAAGATACCTGCAATATTAATGACAATGAAGAAGGACAATAAATGGTATTGACAAAACTGGTTTTCCATTGTAAAACAAAATTATTTCCCTGCCTTCTATGATACACAAATATATTTCAGGCAGGTTGAAGACCTAAATGTTAAAAAAAAAAAAAAAAGTCTCAGAGCCATGTCAGAATTCTAGAATTTAAAATTTCTAAAAAAAAAAGTTTATAAAGAAAAAGATTGTTTGATTCCATCAAAAAGGAAAAAAGGCCAGGTATGGTGGCTCATGCCTGTAATCTAAACGCTTTGGGAGGCCAAGATGGGCAGATTGCTTGAGCTTAGGTGTAGGAAACCAGTCTAGGTAACATAGTGAAACCCCAGCTCTACACAAATTAGCTAGACATGGTGGTGTGGGCCTGTATTCCCAGGAAAAATCTCAGTCGGCTAAGGTAGGAAGATCGTTTGAGAGTGGGAGACTCTTGCTGATGCACACAAGAAACACAAGAATGTTAACATGTGCCTGGGTGTAGAAGAAAAAACTTTATCGTCCATCAGCAAAGTCACAATGGTGCAAAGTAATGAACCACATCAATGTCATGGAGATAGAACACACTTATAAGGCTGAGAAAAACTGTCAGATATAGAATATCCACAATTTAAGACATACATAAATTTTAAAGAGACGAAAACAATATTAGGTATGCAGATATAAGAAAACAAGGCCAAGCACGGTGGCTCACGCCTGTAATCCCAGCACTCTGAGGCGGAGGGCGGATCACTTGAGGTCCGGAGTTTGAGACCAGCCTGGCCAAATGGTTAAACACTGTATCCACTAAAAATACAATAATTGGCCGGGTGTGGTGGTACGCGCCTGTAATCCCAGCTACTCGGGAGGTCGAGGAGAATCGCTTGAACCCGGGAGGCGGAAGGTTGCATTGAGCTGAGATCGCGCCACTGTACTCCACCCTGGGCGACAGAGGGAGACTAGGTCTCAGGAGAAAAAAAAAGAGAAAAGAAAAAAAACGAAAGGAAAAAGAGGAAAGGAAAAGAAGGAAAAAATTAGAAACAAAAATCTGGCTGCCTGGCGCGGCGAGAACACCCTTGGCGCGCCAGAAGCGAGGAGGGTGGAGTTGAGGGAAGCACCGGCAGAGGGAGGAGCACTGCAGGAGCTCGGCGGCTAAAGGAAGGGGCGGCGTCCGTAGACCGCTGGGAGGACCGAGAGACGCGCGAGCCCCGCCCCTGAAAAGTTGACAGGAGAGGGGCGTGGGAGGGAGCCGAGCTGGGAGGCCTCGGGTCGCTGGGAGGAAGGGGTCCGGAGCGCCCCGAGACGCGGAAGCCGCCCTGTGAGGCCGGGGTCCAGGCGGCCCCGCGTGGGGCTGGGAGCTGTGAGGGGCTAGAGAGCTGAAGGAGCCCCGTGAGGAGCGACCCCAGGGCTGGGGAAGGGCGGCGAGGCGCAGTCCGTGCTCGGGGCCTTGTCCGGGGGGGGGGGGGGGGGTCCCTGAAACAGGAAGTGCCACTGATGGCGGGACCGACCCCGGCCTGGAGCACCGCGAGAGACCGGGCACGGGGCAGCGCGCAGGGGAGGGTCTGCGCCCTGCGCCCCCGCCCCCGCCGGGCTCACACTCACCTCACCGCCGCCGAGCAGCTCGGCAGCCCAACCTGGCCCGTTCGGCCCTCCCGCCCCGCCAATCGGAACCGGTCCGGAAGTGACGTCAGCAGACGGTCCGGGTCTGAGGGGCCGCCCGGGCCGCTCTGGGAAGCTAGGACTCCGCGTCTCGGCTGCACGTCTTCCTGGCTCGCTGCAAGTCTCCGGGGACCGGCGAAAGGCGAAGCCATAAAGCGGAAACGCTGCCACCGGGTGGCAGTCCGAGGCCACGGCCCGGCGGCCTCAGAACTGGGGCGATGGTCAAAGTCGAAAACAGATTAGTTTTTCCTTTTTCTGAGACGTCTCTCTAATGAGGCACGAAAGGCGCTGCAAACAAGTAGGCCCTTTAGAGAAAGGAACGGGAACTGCACCCTTCCTTTGAGCCGAGAGGATGCTTACTGGCCAAGAAGCTGTCTTGGGTTTAGCCCATTGCCCGTAATCATAACCCCTGTAAATGGGGCCCAGTGTCCACCGTAGAGTTTTTCGGGTGCCTGAGCTGCTTCTGGAGCAAACTTGCACTGATGGCCGGTCCCTCAGCCAAGGCCTGCTTCCACTTTGCCCAGAAGGGAACAGAAAAGCAGTGGCCGCTTATGACCAAGGTAAGCATCTAGGGCTTTCCCTAAACCCTCTTTCCAGATGCCTCTCCATCCTTCAGGAGGAAACACCACCCTCCTGGATTGTTTCTCGACATATAAGTTGGGACCCTGGGGCCGGCCCCGAGAATGACAGGGAATCAAAACCATGTGCCGTAGCTACCGGCGGGGCAGGGGAAGCTGAAATGGAAGGACCACATGAGACCAGGGGCTTGAGACCAGCCTGGCAACAGCAAAAGCCTGTCTAAAACAAGCCCAGCTTCTTGGGTGTGGTGGGCGCTCAAAGGCAGGTGGGGCCATACCAGCAGGATGAGGAAAGCAAGATCGTGAAATGGGGGGTAAAGGTTCACTCTAGAGACGGTGGTGAACCATGACAGCTAGGAGCTACCGCGAAGCCAGTGAGGACTTGTCATCCAGGAGTGACCCACACAAGCCTAAGATGTCCTGTTCTCACCTGCCTCTCCAACCAAGTCTACAGGGAGAGCACCGTGCCTCATCCTGCCCACTCCAGTTCGTTCCGGAGTGTTGTTAGGGGCAGTGATCTGCAGCTCCTGCATTCGGTAGTGAACTTCCTTGTGTGAAAGTGCTAATAAGCTTCCACCTGATGCTGTCCTGGGAACCCCTCATTCGGTCATGGTTAAGGGACAAGATGCCATGTGCTATGGCCAAACAGGAAGCCCCTCTACTCTACCTTGTGATGGAAACCAGTTTACTTGCCTTCCCACTGCAATGGGGGCTTCCCTGATACTTCCAACCTGATTCCACTCAGAATCGCCACCTCAGCCTCACTTACCACCAAAGCTAAATGGAAGGTATGTGCCATTATACCAGCAGGGAAAGGCCATGTGCTCAGAACAAGGTAATCGGTGCAGGTTTGGGGGCTGTTCCTGGTGAGTTTCTCTGCCCCAGGGAAGAGGGGGCAACATGCCCTGTGAGGCTGTGGCATTCCAGGACTCAAGGAGCCAACTGTCCTACAGCTGATGCCAGCTCCAGTCCAGTGTAGGGCTCTAGGTAGGTGACTGAAGGGACTCTCGGGTGGTCTGGGATCCCCATACACGCACTGCATGCATTCATCCCTTTGTTCAGCAATCCCAGCAGGGACCTGGGACCCCACACTGAGAATCACCACCTTCAACCTCACTATCAGGCTGGAAAATGAGGGAAGGCATGAAGCCCCACTCAGGAAAAAATACCAGAACTCTCCAGTCAGTAACCACTCCCCACCATGGCAGGGTGAGAATGCATACAGGGTGCTCCCAGTGGTCTGCAGAACAGAATGAAAGGCTGGGCTAGGAATGGCCTTCCTGGATGTGGACAGGGTGTCTGTCCCATGCTCCTCTAGGACCCATCCCAAGTTCCCCGTGCAAAGACACCTGCAAGCCAGGTATCCCTGGCAGTGACTTTGCAAAAACACACTGACATCAGCAGGGCTATACCCAGTTTGGAGGGGAAGGGTGTGACCAAAAGACCCTGGGTTAGGTGCTGGCAGAGTGAGGGTGTGGTCCAGAACACCAGGCTCACAATTGTGTCCTATTGTTTCCCATTTCTCAGTTTCTTCATATGTAAAATGAGCGCATACATCCAAGCACTGCAGTCCATGGGACTGAGTCACCCACCTAAGTGTCAGGTCCTGGGAGCCATGTTCTTGGTCCCCTGTGGGGAAGCAAGGGTCTCGCCCAGGGTACCTGTCCTTGTTTCTATTCGTAGACTTTCCCTTCTAAGTTTCCACCACTCACTGGTGGTCTACTCTAGTAGTCTATCTTGTTCCCTGTACCAAGCGGGAGAATCCCACAGAAATCCTATCAGCAGAGTACCCTCCCATTGAAAACATGGGGGTGGCACATCCTGGTGGCATAAAGACAAGCTTTATTGAGCCCCTCAGCACTAGTTCTCTTTCTCCTGCACAGTCTTGGTTCCCCGGAGGCGTCCAGTCCGACGGGCAGCAATGAGACCCACTTTGCGGCCAGCAGGGGCATCTCTGCGGATGGTGGAGGGCTTGCCGATGTGCTGGTGGTTGCCACCACCAAAAGGATGCTCCACAGGCTGCAGGTAGAGGATGGCTTTAGAATGAGGGTGAGCCAACCTCCTTCAGGAGGGCTTGAGCAGGATCAAGAGTCCTGTGACTACAAACCATGACCCACTGTGCCTCCCATTGCAGATCCCCCTCCTGCAGGGACACTTGTGAATAGAACTTGTCTACCCAACTGTGTGGCCACTGTATCTTGAATACTCAATCCTGCATTTCTGGGTTACTTACATTCATGGCCACACCCCGTACTCGTGGCCAGCAGTTCCTCTTTGCCTTGTATTTGTGGTAGGCCCGGCCAGCCTTCAAGATGGGTTTGTCAATTCGGCCACCTCCAGCCACCACACCTGTAAGGGAGATCAGGTACCTTAGGGAACCTCCAGTCAGTTAGAATACCCCCTGCCGGGTCCTTTCCAGGATACCCACCTCCCCTCAATCTCTTGTCACACACCTTCACACTACTGCATCCAACTACCTAGCAAAAAGCCCACTTGTCTCCTTAGCCCCTTGCACCTTGTAAGCTGACATCCAGGTTCTTCAATCCACTTTGGGCAGGCAAACCAAAGCCTTCACCTACATCACCTAGAACACTGGCTGATCTCCAAGCACAGGGAAGCACCTCTCTCACCATGTTTTTTTGTTTGTTTTTTTTTTGAAGCGGAGTTTCGCTCTTGTTACCCAGGCTGGAATGCAATGGCGCGATCTCGGCTCACCACAACCTCCGCCTCCTGGGTTCAGGCAATTCTCCTGCCTCAGTCTCCTGAGTAGCTGAGATTACAGGCACGCGCCACCACGCCCAGCTAATGTTTTGTATTTTTAGTAGAGACGGGGTTTCACCATGTTGACCGGGATGGTCTGGATCTCTTGACCTCATGATCCACCCGCCTCAGCCTCCCAAAGTGCTGTGATTACAGGCTTGAGCCACCGCGCCCGGCTCTCTCAGCATGTTTAAGACATCAGGCAGGTCACTCAACCTGACACAGGACACTTGATCCGGCCTGTTCCATCTCAGCTTTGCTTATTCCTGGAACACACTCTCAATCTCAAAGACTCCCGTGTGACGCCAAGTTCATCACAAAGATTCCAAGATGTTCCCAAACTGGAGTGAGTTAACCTAGACTCAAATCCTTTTTCGCTTAGTAGGTGTCTTTGAGAAAGTCACAAATCTCTCCCTACCTTCTCTGAAAAGCCTGTTAACAAACCGTATGCAAGTACAGCAATCAGGAAGCCTAGGTTATGCCAGAATTGAATTCAAGCCCCAGGTGACTTCATCCCAATCTCATTCAACTCCACAATAGCAGTAAGGCAGGTAATGTTGTGTCCACTTTAGTTATGACAACTGAGACTACGGGATGAGCTCAAATTTCCAAAACCCAAGTTTTAAAACAATGGATAATCGAATTCCAGGGACCAGGTCTAGCCACTGGCTGTCCACAGGCGCTCAGTCTGTTCATTCACAGCCCTCAGCATCCAACTGCTGCCTGGTACTCACCAACCACAGCTCTGTTGGCTGAGGAGATAACCTTCTTGGAGCCAGAAGGCAGCTTCACACGGGTCTTCTTGGTCTCAGGGTTGTGGGAGATAACGGTGGCATAGTTCCCAGATGCCCGGGCCAGCTTGCCACGGTCTCCAGGCTTCTCCTCTAGGCAGCAGACGATCGTACCCTCAGGCATGGTGCCCACAGGCAGCACATTGCCAATGTTGAGCTGAGCTGCAAGGGGAAGCAGCATCAGGCGGTCAGCGGAGTAAGAAGCAATGCGAACCCACTCGCTCTAGGCAGCCCGCTAAGTTGCCAGCACAGCATTCAACATCTAGCCTCCCGGTACAGCTCTCTGGACCCCCACCAAGCTCTCGCCTGAGAAGTTCCTACACAGGTTTAGGGCTTTAACTCCTTAAACCCCTCCTTTCGTCCCCACCCCGACATTCCTTCCCCGCCGCGATGCTAACCCTTCTTGCCACAATACACGAACTGGCCCGTATGAATGCCCTCGGCAGCAATGAACAGCTCCGTCCGCTTCTTAAACCGGTACGGGTCCCGGAAGACCACCTTGGCAAGAGGCGCGCCGCGGCCTGGGTCGTGGATGATGTCCTGTGGGCCGAGGTGGCGTGAGTGTGGCGTCGCGGCCGGGTGTCCCGTCCCCTCCCGCCCCGCCCTGGCCGGCGCTCCGCACCTTCACGATGCCCTTTATGTAGCCGTGCCGCTCGGCGAAATCCACGGCGCGCAGGCGCGCGGCGCCCTTACGGTGCTTCACGTGCGCGCGGAACACAGACCCGGCACCCTTCCTCTGTCCACGGATCACGCGGCCCATGGCGACGGGTCCTGGGGGCGGCTCAGTTAGCGTGTCCGGGCGGCCCGGGCACCCCTGCCAGCCCGGCTTTCCGGGACCCCGCCCCCGAGGCCGCCGCGCCCACCACCCGCTACGCTCTCCGCGGGCGCGCGCGTTGGCACCCTCCCAGGAACACCGGCCTGCGTCTCCGCGCGCCTCAGGGAGGAGGATGGCGGCGGATAGTGCCGATGCCGCAGGGCCGCAAGCACAACCTACCTGCTCCCGAGCGTGGCCGAAAGAGGAAACACGGCGTTCGCGAGCCGCCTTATCTTCCGGGGCGGGGCCCAGAGCCGCGACACCTTCCGGGTGCGCCACGGCCAGCCGAACGTGGTGCACGCCGGGGTTTGTAGTCACCAGCGGCCGCAGGCCCCGCCTACTTCGCTGCCTGGGCCCCCGACCAGGCGCAACGCGGAGTCCTGGTGTGCACGGGCCCAGAAGGAGGGCGAAGGCATGCTAGGTCTTCACAGGGGTCTGGAGAAGGACAAGTGTTCTCTGAGTGGCCGAGGAGGCGCCGAGTGGTTGAGTGACCTGTCTAGGGTGTCACAGAGCGACCCACTCCGGGCTACGGGGTCCGGGCTTCCCAGCTTTGCCTGGTGAGGGGCATCCGTGTAGGCTGAGGGGGTTCTTGCTGGTGCAGAGCAGGAGATGGGCAGGGGAGACGCGCGGACCCACTTGTGGAACGTCGTGGTTTGCAGGTGGCAAATGTCCGTCTTCCTGATGAACGGGCGCTCCTGGACGCGCCCTTGTCCACTGTAGGCCCTTGGAGAGGTCGGACGTCGAGGAGAGGAGCCCGGGGATCCTTGCCAAAAGTGGGGAGGCCAAGCTGTGGGGTCCCAAGGGCGAGGAAAGGGAGGGACTGGGTCACCTGCTGCGGAGAGGACGGATATCGGGAGACTGGACCGTACCCTGAACAGAACCCTGTGCGGGAGAGGTGGCTGGAGGGGCTGTGGGGGCCTCCACAGCTGGAAAGAGCCTGGCTGGAGGTGTCCAGCGGCAAATGCTGTGGGAAGGAGCTTCGCAGAATCGGGCCCCTAACGGGCGAGACCCCGAGGCCGGGGGCGGGGAAGAGGTTGTTCAGGAGAGAGTCCTTGGCTGAGTGAGCACTGTCGAGCACAGGCGGGGCCGTGGATCAGGAGGCAGCAAGGAGGTGAGGGCAGGGGCCCAGTGGGCAGGAGAGACAGGAGAAGGTGAGGGGTGACCTGTCGCCGCTGCTGCTCACAGGGGAGAGGCGGGGCTACTGCAGGAGGCCCTCCCTAGGGTCGGCAGGGGGATTGAGGAGGAGCTAGCTGCCAGGTGGGGACTGAGGAAGCAGCTCAGCCCACAGCAGGGCGAGGGGCTGAGGGGCAGGACTGGACCTTGGCGGTAGGGTGAGGGGTTCTGGGGTCAGCCCAAAATTGGCCCAGGGGCTCAGCCTATGCCTCACTCCTGAACAAGTCTGCTTCTACTCCAGAGGAGCAGGAGAGTTGGGTGTGGGATAGAGGTGAGAAGAGTGCTCGGACACAGAGGCTGTCTCATGGGTCTCTGTGATGACATGCAGCTACCAGGACCCTAGGTGCAGCCAGGAGGCTGACCGGGCCATTTTAAGGCTCGAAGAGACATGGCCCTGCCAGCATGCACCCCAGTCCTGAGGACTGTATCACGGGGCTTTATTCTTCACGTGAGGCCACCCAGCCTGGCACACAGCAAGGCTCTGCAGTTCTGGGTCACTTGACAGCCACTCCAGGCAAGGCAGCAAGCACTGGACATGGAGTTTTCCAGCCTTCTGGGGTGGAGCCATCTTTCTTAGGCCAGGATTAGGCCCTCCCCCACACAGTGCCTCTGCTTGTTCTGGAGGCCTGGCCTCTCGGGCCATCTGAAGTCATCCCTAACCTGCTTTTCAAACTTTATTCTTAGAAATTCTTTATTTTCCTTTGAAATTGTTCTCAAATATTTCTTGTCACATACATGCAGGAGTAATGTGGTATAAACATGAAAAACTGTGATCCTCTGTCTTGCTCAGCTTGGCTCCCCTCCCCCGCCAGCATTATCTGCCTGCACCCCCCAACCCCCACAACTGATGTGTCCTCCTCTGCCTGCCCCACCAGGAAGAAAAATGATGGTTCCTGGTCTGTCTTGTGCTCAAATCTGACCCTGCTCCCAACCAGCTATAGCTCTGGATGAGTCCCTTACCTTCTTTAGGCCTCATAGCTTCTCCCAGGGTCGGGTTGCAATTCAGAGGATCTGAAAACCTAGAGTTCGTGAAACTATCTCTATAGAGGTGAGTGGACATTTTTCAGCACACAAAGTTTCTTGAACTGTTTCTCCTACTTCCATGATGGTTTCACAACACAGTTTAGTGGCTAAAGAATATGTGACTTGAAAAAAATTATTCAATTAAAAAAAAAAAGTGTGATTTGGAGCCAGGTCTGTGGGTTGGATCCCAGCTCTGTTAATTAAGAGATGAGACCTTGGCCAGACACAGTGGCTCATGCCTGGAATCCTAAAGTGCTGGGATTACAGGTGGGCAGATCACCTGAGGTCAGGAGTTCGAGACCAGCCTGACCATGGAGAAATACCATCTCTAGCTTGAGATCTGAGGCAAGAGATCGAACCATTGTACTCCAGCCTGGGCAACAAGAGCAAAACTCTCGTCTCAAAAAAGAAAAAAAGGAAACGAGACCCTGGTAAATAACAGGGATACTATGCTCTGCTCATTTTAGTATGGGAACAGTAGTATTTTGATAGGATTCTCATGAATTAAATTAGTAAATAGAAAGGGCATACAAATGTGTTTACAAAAATCACAGGGCTGTTAGAAGTCACGGAGTGGCCACCCTTGGGTTCAGACAGGAGAGGTGGTCTGAGAGTGATCAGAGGGAGCAGCAGAGACACTTTAATATTCCAGAAACTGGCCAGGTGAGGTGGCTAACGCCTGTAATCCCAGCACTTTGGGAGGCAGAGTCGGTGGATCACCCGAGGTCAGGAGTTCAAGACCAGCCTGGCCAACAGGGTGAAACCCTGCCTCTACTAAAAACACAAAAATTAGCCGGCGTGGTGGCGGGCACCTGTAATCTCAGCTACTCGGGAGGCTGAGGCAGGAGAATCGCTTGAGCCGAGATCACGCCACTGCACTCCAGCCTGGGCGACAGAGCGAGACTCCATCTGAAAAAAAAAAAAAAAAAAAAAAAAAAGTCCAGCCGAGCAATGTCATACATTTATATAAGAGACCGGCCCGGCCTGATGCCCCAGCTCCGCCGTTCCTGCGGGTCCAGGAGTCGATCCCGCGCCCCGCTCCCCAACCCCGCAGCCCACCCAGGTCCGGGGGGAAACGGAGCGCCGAGAACGTTACCGCTCTTCCTCGCCCCTCGGGTCTGGGACTGAGACCCGGTCTCGCCCGGAATCCCCGACGCGCGCCCCCAGCTGCAGCCCTAGCGACGGCCGCGCGGCAGGAGCTAGAAGGCGTCTAAACTCGAGCGCCATCGAGGCGCGCGGTCTTCCAGGCCTCCCAGAGCGGCGCAGCGGCCGTTTCCGGGGGCGGGGCCGGAACTGGAGCCCGAGCGCCCGGCGCCCTGCGCTGTTCCGGAGAGTCAGGGTGAGGCGGCCCAGGGTGAGTTGGCCCCGGCTGCGGGGCGGGGACTGGGAGGGATGTGTGGTGTCCTCGGAGCCCGGCCTGGCAGAGGCTGTGGCCCCCGCAGGGACTGAGCGGAGCTCGGCAGGGAGCGGACCTGCAGCCGGCACTGCCGCCTCTGCTCGCCTTGGGTCCTGAACCTTTCTTAGGGCGAAGGGTCCTGCGCCTCGGTCCATGCCGGCTGTGGTCTGGGGCGTGCGGCGGGGTCCCCCAGACCCGCTTCGCCGACCCGGACTGTTGCTCAGAGGCGAGGCTGCAAGCGGGAAGCCTGGCGAGGTGGGGTTGCTTCGGAGCACCAGGCTCTGCCACGAGGTCTCCCGCCGGCGGGCTCTTCCCGGCGACGCGGTTCCCCGCAGCCGTCATTCACCCTACGCAGTTTTGCCCTCTCCACGGGTTGGGGCGTGAATTGTAATAGAGGTGAGACGTTAGTGTAACAGGCAATAACGCAGCAAAATAACTTTTGGTTTTGACAAGGGCCATGCACAGCATAAACCAAGGAGATAAAATTGTGAGAGGGTAGCTTTGGCGGTCAGGGCGGCTCTGTGAAGAGTTAACAAACTGAAATCTGCGACATAGTGAGCAGGGTGCCCCGGGTCCCTGAGGAAGAGCGTTTATTGTACGTATGGAAGGAGGCGACCCTCCTAGTCTTCCAGACCCCAGTTAAATATTACTTCCCCCAGTAACATTTCTTGTGGTCCTCCATCTAAATGAGCACCCTCCTCCCCTTGACATTTTCTCTCTCAGCACTTGAAGCAACAGCTTGATCTGTTGTCATATCACTGTGCGATTACCAGTGCTGTTTAATCTGACTAAAGATTTATTTCCTAATTCCAAAGATATAACTAAAAGCAGGTTTTTTTTTTTACCCTCTAACCAGGACATGCACTCCCCAGATGTGAACAAAGAAAAAACAACAATGGTAACTTACCCCCTCCTGGTCCAACCCTAGTCCCAGGTTGCAGTTCTTACCACAGTGGAGGGCGGTATGTGTTGAGGAGTCAGAGGGTCAAGTCTTCTGGCAGCCTCGTGCCCTGAGATACTCTGGTTGCCTTGGTGGGGTGAGGACAATATATGTGGCAATTGCACTTGCCCAGGTAGGTCCTGCCACAGACTGCCGTGGACAGACATCGAGTGGGGGCTCTGTTTTTCCATGCGTTTGCAGTCCGAGCTCTTCGTTCATGGGTGACTTACAAGTCTGTTTGACCTTCCCCCATCACCCTTCATACCCTAACATGTCAAAAGGACTCTACTGCCAAATATCACTTCACAGCATTGTGACTAAGCAGCCGTCTTCCTTCTAAACGCACACTTTATTATTACTTATTTTGGGAGAGAGCCTCACTCTGTCACCCAGGCTGGAGTGTAGTGGCACAATCTTGGATCAATGCAACCTCTGTCTCCTGGATTCAAGCAGTTCTCCCGCCTCAGCCTCTCAAGTAGCTGGGATTACAGGCATGTACCAGCACACTCGGCTAATTTTTGTATACTTAGTAGAGGAGTTTCCCAATGTTGGCCAGGCTGGTCTCAAACTCCTGACTTCAGATGATCTACCCTTCTCATTCTAAAGTGCTGAATTACAGGCATTAGCCACCATGCCCGGCCTCTAAACACACACTTTTTGTCAACTGATGCCTAATGGGAAACGTCTCTTTACAAAGTGGCAGCTACTTAGAGGGCCCCAGCTCTACAGAAAAGGGTACCCCTAGAGACCTTCACTCAAACACAAGAGCTCAAGTATCTGTTGAAGGGAAAGAGTGAGGAGACCAGCGCCTCATGCCTACTCTGTATACGTCTGGTTAGAGCAAAATTACTGTTTTGTTTTGTTTGAGACAGGGTCTTGCTCTGTCGCCCAGACTGGAGTGTGGTGGCATGATCTCAGTTCACTGCAACCTCTGCCTCCTGGGCTTAAGGGATGCTCCTAGGATGGCTGAGGTCATACCATTGCACTCTGGTCTGGGCAACAAGAGGGAGATTCAGTCTCAAAAAACAAAACAAAAAAAACTTAAATTAGAAAAACAGAGGCCAGATGCGGTAGCTCATACCTGTAATCCCAGAACTTTGGGAGACCGAGGCAGGAGGATCAGTTGAGTCCAGGAATTCAAGACCAGCCTGGGCAACATAGTGAGACCTCATCTCTAATAAAAATTTTTAAAAGTTAGCTGGGCTGTTCCAAAACATCTGTGAGCCTGCGGAGTAGCCATGATGAGCAAAGCTCACTCTCCCAAGTTGAAAAAAAATTATGGACAAGAAGTTATCATTGAAATTAAATGGTGGCAGATATGTCCAAGGAATATTGCGGGGATTTGATCCCTTTATGAATCTTGTGGTAGATGAATGTGTGGAGATGGCGACTAGTGGGCAACAGAACGATACTGGAATGGTGGTAATATGAGGAAATAGTATCATCGTGTTAAGCCTTGGAACCAGTATATAATGACTGTTCAGAGAAACCCATGTACTCTCTCCATAGGGCCTGTTTTACTATGATGTGAAAATTAGGTCATGTACATTTCATATTAGACTGGTGTTTGTTTTTTTTTTTTAAGACAGGGTTTCAACATGTTAGTCAGGCTGGTCTTCAACTCCCAACTTCAGGTGATCCTCCCGCCTTGGCCTTCAAAGTGCTTGGATTACAGGTGTGAGCCACCACGCCTGGCCTAGACTTTTTGTTAAATAAACTTTTGTAATAGTTAAAAAAAAAAAAAAAAAAAATCAGCTGGGTGTGGTGGCATGCACCTGTAGTTCTAGCTACTCAGGAGGCTGAGGTAGGGGAATTGCTTGAGCCCAGGAAGTTGAGGCTGCAGTGAGCCGAGATCACACCACTGCACTCCAGCGAGACCCCTGTCTCAAAAAAAGAAAAGAAAAATAGGAGAAAAACAGGAACCACTGGTAATTCTATGAGCCAGAGAGAACTAGGATTTTATGCCACCAGGTTTATTTTTCTGGTTAGTCTGCTTGTTTCATGTAGCAAAATGCAAGAATGTTTTCTGATGTTCCCACAACATGGTTTTATTGGTTGCAGAGTCACCCATTGTCAGGGATCCCTTTGTTCATTTCATAAATCCTTTCTGAGCACTTGCTGTGTGCCACAGCCTTCCTCAGGCCCCAGAGGTACAGACTAGAGGTCTTGCCTAATTGGAGAAGGCAGATAAGGAGCAAGGAATTTAACTTATCTTATGTCAGATGGCATAGTGCTATGGTGAAAAATAAAACCAGGAGTGAGGATAAGGAATTACCAGGCAGTAGGGGAGGTGGCAGTTTTAAAAAGGGTGGTCACAGAAGGCCTCTTTGGAAGGTGACAGCCAGCAAACAAAGGAGTGGGTGGGCAGGTCTTGGATGCAGCTTCTCCTTGAGACGTAAAGGAGGTGGCTGATGTAGTTGCCGCAGCATCTCACCCTCTCCTGTACCCTTCTGGATCTGGAGGGGCCTTTTGGGGGCAGTAGGGCCTTAGGCCTGGACTCCTTCCACTTACAGCTGTATGTTCCCTCAGCATGCACTGTCTTTAGCACCTGCTCCTCCACAAAGGGTACCCTGGAATGGTGATGACACTTCCGATGCCTGGACTCCAGGTGAGCACCCCCTCAGAGCCTGTCTGCTGCCCCAGGAGACTGCTTCGCCCCAGCCCCAGCTTTTCAGCTCTGAGAACCTTCCAGGGAGCCTCACACCCACCCACATCACAAGATGGAGTCTGCAAGCCAAGGACGGCCTCCTTCCTCTATGGCCAGGCCTCACACATGGCTCTCCTAAATCCTTCCTGGCTTTAGGCAGAAGTGGGCTTCCTGGGGCCCCTGAGCTTCTGTGCCCAGCCGCTGAGGGCAGGATCTCTGTCCTTTCCCAGTGCCAGTCTCCTTCCTGGTGTGAATAGTCAGCCCATCCCCCTCTCCTGATGCTAACTTGCTGCTGGTGTTGGAAATTGAGACCCAGAGGGTGGGGATGCCCCCACAGTGCAGGCGCTCCTTCCCCAAATCCCTGATAGCCTGTGGAGAGGGGTGAGGCCAAGGTTGGGACCTCTTTCCTGGTAACTCTTTCTCTCCCTCCCCCAAATTCAGTTTTCCCCTCTTCCTCTCTGGGGTTCTGCTGAGGACGAGGCCACTCATTCAGGGGGTGTTGGGCTGCCCTGTCTCTGCTGGGCCCTGTGGACGCAGCAATGCCCAGCAAGGAGAGAGGCCTCTAGCAGATCACCCAAATGTTCCTCATCTGCTGGGTTCTCGCTGAGCCTTTGACTGTCTGGATAGCAGAGTATGTGGTTGCAGGAGGCTGTTGTGTTCGAGGATGTGGCTGTGTACTTCACGAGGATAGAGTGGAGTTGCCTGGCCCCCGACCAGCAGGTACTCTACAGGGACGTGATGCTGGAGAACTATAGGAACTTAGCCTCGCTAGGTGAGGGCTTCTGCCTTTGGTCCTGGGGCCGGGAGGTGCTTCTATGTTCGGTTCAAAGGGAAGTTGGTTCCATTTCAGATTCGCAGTCTGTCACATTTTTGAGGGGAAGCTGGAGCCTCCCCAAGGAGCCCCTCTCTGCTTCCTGCTGGGCATCTGCTGCCCAGCCTTAATTCTCTCCTGGGGCAGGCCCCCCCACCTCCTGTTGGCCACCTAGCTGCCCCCTTTTGGGATAGTGGATGTTCTTGCACCCATTCCAAGCCCTTGTGCTCCCGATGGCCTCCAACTGGCGTCCTCCCTCCTGTATCCACCCCAAGTCCTGTGTGCTCCCAGTGGCCTCCAACCGGGCACCCAGGCATCCTTCCTCCCTTCTGCACTGACACATGCTGCTTTCCCTTTCTGAGCTTAGGCTTTCTTGTTGCCAAACCAGCACTGATCTCCCTCTTGGAGCAAGGAGAGGAGCCAGGGGCCTTGATTCTGCAGGTGGCTGAACAGAGAGGGGCCAAAACCAGCCTGTGCACAGGTGAGTGCAAGGCCCTGGAAGGCCTGGGCTGCTGCCACACTGCAGGGCATGTTGTGTGGCTGCCAGTGCGTCCTGGCCTCTGTGCAGCTCTGTGCAGGTGTCCTCTTTGACAGTGGGGGCCGTGTGTGTTCAGCTCCTCACAGCAGGGCCAGACTTACTACTAAATGCCTTGCTTGTACTTCTGAGGTCAAAAGTAGCTTAAGCATGAAGACCCAAGTGCGTGTTTTCCACCTTGGTGACCCCAAGGCGTCAGGGGCCTGGTCTGTGCACACAGTGGGCACTACCCTTGGGTTGCTTTTATTTTCTCAGTTCCTCATGACCCATGTGCCAGGGACTGAGCTCAGGGCAGTGGAGGCTGCAGAAAGAACCTTGAGCTGGGGAGGAGTCCCTCAGTCCTAGAGGTCTGTGCAGGCACCTGCCCTAGGCACCTGCCCAGACATGTTTGCTGAGTGAATGAACCCTGGGTGAACTCTGAAGGAGAGACAAGTAAAGAACGTGGCTGTGGGATGAGGTGCAATCTGCACCTCCTGCCTGGCCTGTCTTCCCTGCCAGACCTTGGGCCTCTCCTGTGGGCTCCCCCTGAGCCAGCCTGCCACAGTGCTGCAGCCATTATTAGCCTCTGTACCCTTCTCACCTGAATTCTGATTTTATTTTTATTTAATTATTTTGAGATGGAGTTTTGCTCTTGTTGCCCAGGCTGGCGTGCAATGGCGCAGTTTCGGCTCACTGCAACCTCCGCCTCTCAGGTTCAAGTGATTCTCCTGCCTCAGCCTCCCAAGTAGTTGGGATTAATAGGCGCCCACCACCACGCCCGGCTAATTTTCATATTTTTAAGAGAGATGGGTTTTGACCATGTTGGCCAGGCTGGTCTCTTACTCCTGACCTCAGGTGATCTGCCCGCCTCGGCCTCCCGAAGTGCTGGGATTGCAGGTGTGAGCCACTGTGCCCAGCCTAAACCCTGATTTTAAAACTTCTGGCAATAATTTCTCAAACCTCCCTACACCTCTAACAAAGACTGTCTTCACTTGATTGTGGTATCATTTCAGTGTAGGTATTTATTGAATCATGGTGTACAACAAAAGTATATGCAAGTTTTGTTTTTTGCTTTTTTGTTTTGTTTTTTGAGACGGAGTCTCGCTCTGTCTCCCAGGCTGGCGTGCAGTGGTGCAATCTCGGCTCACTGCAACCTCCACCTCCTGGGTTCAGGTGATTTTCCTGCCTCAGCATCCTGAATGGCTACAGACACACACCATCACACCTGGCTAATTTTTGTAATTTTTTAGTAGAGATGGGGTTTCACAATATTGGTCAGGCTGGTCTTGAATTCCTGACTTCAGTTGATGGACCTGTCTCAGCCTTTCAAAGTGCTGGGATTACAGGTGTGAGCCACCAGGCATGGCCTAGGGTTTTTGTTTTGTAGTCTCACTGCTTTGCCCAGGCTGGAGTACAGTGGCTGGATCTCAGCTCACTGCAGCCTCAGGCTCCCAGGTTCAAGCAATTCTGCTGCCTCAGCCTCCTGTATACAAGTTTCATTTGTCGTTTATACCTCAGTAAACCTGGGTGTCGGGGGAAGACTTGGCAATAAAAAGGTTCTGTCTTCAAACAGTAAGTTCGTTTGTGAGTATAGAGGCTGGATCGTCCTTCCGTTTTCTGTTCCTTCTCGCAGATTCCAGGATGGAGGCCGGGATCATGGAGTCTCCTCTGCAGCGAAAGCTCTCCAGGCAGGCAGGACTCTCAGACACGGTGTGGGGGTGCCTCCCTGAGGAGGACCCCGCACCACCCCACCCGTATAGTGGTCCTGAGGACGGGTCAGAGAAGCAAACCCCTAGCCCCGGGGCTCCGGAGCGCAGCGCCTCCCCAGGGGTTCTGCAAGAAGACCTGGGCCGGCGCATAGGGAGCGCAGCTCCTCGCTATAGGTGCGCATGCGGCAAAGCGTTCAGATACAACTCCCTGCTGCTCAGGCACCAGATCATCCACACTGGCTCCAAGCCCTTCCAGTGCACGGAGTGTGGGAAGGCCTTCAAGCAGAGCTCCATCCTGCTGCGGCACCAGCTGATCCACACCGAAGAGAAGCCGTTCCAGTGCAGCGAGTGCGGCAAGGCCTTCCGGCAGAGCACGCAGCTGGCTGCCCACCACCGCGTCCACACCCACGAGCGGCCTTATGCGTGCAGCGAGTGCAGCAAGACCTTCAGCCGCAGCTCCCGGCTGCTGCAGCACCAGAAGTTCCACACCGGGGAGAAGGCCTACGAGTGCGGCGAGTGTGGCAAGGCCTTCTGCCGCAGGTTCACCCTCAACGAGCATGGCCGCATCCACAGCGGGGAGCAGCCCTACCGGTGCCTGCAGTGCGGGCAGCGTTTCATCCGGGGGTCCTCGCTCCTGAAGCACCACCGGCTGCACGCCGAGGAGGGCCCCCAGGACGGTGGCGCGGGGCAGGGCGCCCTGCTCGGAGTGGCACAGAGGCCACAGGCAGGGGACCGGCCCCACGAGTGCCCGGTGTGCGGAAAGCCGTTCCGACACCACTCCCTGCTGCTGCTGCACCTGCGCCTGCACACGGGCGAGAAGCCGTTCGCGTGCGCAGAGTGCGGCAAGGCCTTCGGTCGCAAGTCCAACCTCACTCTGCACCAGAAAATCCACACCAAGGAGAAGCCCTTCGCGTGCACCGAGTGTGGCAAGGCCTTCCGCAGGAGCTACACGCTGAACGAGCACTACCGGCTCCACAGCGGCGAGAGGCCGTACCGGTGCCGCTCCTGCGGGAGGGCTTGCAGCCGCCTGTCCACCCTCATCCAGCACCAGAAGGTGCACGGCAGCGAGCACCGGGAGGACATGGAGGGCAGGCGGGCGCCGCGCTGGGCTTCCTGATGACGGGGGCGACAGTCCGAGGATTCACACGGGAAGCCTGACACAAGCAGGCGCGGCCCCAACGCAGAAGTTCGAATCTCATGTCCTGAAGGTGCAGCAGTCTTGAGAAGAGGCCAGCTCTTACCCGGAGCACTCGGCCTCTTGCTCCAGCTGGGCAGTGGGGAGGGAAAGGGCACCTAGTGGCCCATGGTGTGGCCTCAGGAATCAGCATCAGCCACCATTTCCTGGGACCTTTGGGAAATGTCCCGGAGCTGGCAGAAGTGAGGGAGGGAGGGGCAGCTATGCTCAATCCCCAGAGAGCAGAGCAAAGGGGACGCCATAGACACACATGCAGCCTGGCATAGCCAGGTCTCAGCACCAGGCCCTGCGTGGTGGTGAATTTCAGGTGGTGTAAAGCTGATTCACAGGATAGAAGATGCCTTAGTTGGCTGCCATGTGTCCTGCCTGTAATCTCATCACTTTGGGAGGCTAAGGCAGGGGGTTTGCTTAAGACCAGCCTGAGCAACAGGGTGAAATTTCTCTACAAAAAATTTAAAAATTAGCCAGGCATGGTGGCATGTGCTTCTAGGTTGTAGTCCCAGGTACTTGGGAGGCTGAGGTGGGAGGATGGGTTGATCCTGGGAGGTCAAGGCTGCAGTGAGCTGTGACAGCACCACTGCACTCCAGCCTGGGTGACAGAGTGATACCCTGTTTTTAAAAAAAAAAAAAGAAAACGCCAAAAGAAAAAAAAAACCTCAATGGCTGGTGGAGCATTTATTTATTTATTTATTTTTAATTTATTTGAGACGATCTCTCAGCCAGCCAGCCTGGAGTGCAGTGGCGCAATCATGGCTTACTGCAGCCCTGCACTCCCAGGCTCAAGAGTTTCTCCCACCTCAGCCTCCTGCATAGCTAGGACTAAGGTACACACCACTGCATCTGGCAGCTGAAGCATTGTTTCTGAGTGTGTGAGGATATTTTGTTGGACTCAGTGAAGATCTGCCCTCAGTGTAGCCGAGCACATCCAGTTGGTTGGGGGCCCAGATGGAACACAAAGAGAGAAGAGCAAATTCTCTCTTATCTAGAGGGAGACACTCATCTTCCCCTGTCCTTGGACATCAGGACTCCAGGTTCTTCAGCCTTTGGACTCAAGACTTGCCACAGAGGCCTCCCAGGGCTCTCTAGCAGTCAGCCTCAGAATGAGAGTTAAATCACTGGCTTCCTTGGTTCTCCCACCTTCTTACCTGGCCTGAGCCACACTAATGGCTTCTCTGGGTCTCCAGCTTGCAGACAGCCTGTGGGAGAATTTCTCAGCCTCCATAAGTGTGTGGGCCAATTCCCCTAATAAATCCACTCTTCTGGCTGGGCTCGGTGGCTCAAGCCTGTAATCCCAGCATTTGAGGAGGCAGAGGTGGGAGGATCACCTGAGGTCTGGAGTTCGAGACCAGCCTGGGTGAAACCCTGTCTCTACTAAAAATACAAAAGTTATCTGGGCATGGTGGTGGCTGCCTGTAATTCCAGCTACTTGGGAGGCCGAGGCAGGAGAATCACTTGAACCCGGGAAGTGGAGGTTGCAGTGAGCCGAGATTGCACCACTGCACTCCAACCTCGGTGACAGAGCAAGACACTGTCTCCAAAAAAATAAAAGAAATCCCCTCTTCTAAACTCCATTATTGGTTCTGTCTCTCTAGAGAACCATACTACACTCTGCCCTGCCGAAGCCAGGAAGAAAGCCCTGCCAGCTCAGAATGTGGGCCAAGAGAGAAGGGGTGTGGCTAGAGGGAGAGCTGGTTGAGGTGCTGCACCGTCTTGGCCACACTGGGAGCACCTTATCACCCCTAACAGATGAAGAGAAGGTGAGGGAGGATTGAGTTGCTGGCCCACTGGTGTGTCAGACTCCATGGTGGCGCTGGGAACATGCAGGCCGGTCTCCTCCAAGGCTTGGTGCTCCCTCGGCTGTGCACCCACCGCCCGTTCCTGGGGCTGCAGAAGGAGCCAGGAGAAGCCTGGCCCTGGCAGGGCACCAAGACGGGGAGGGCTGGATCCACCTCTCCAGAGAACAAGAACCCTGGGCAGTGGCAGGGACATGATGGGGGAGGCTGAAGGCTTGTCCCTCAGCATCCCCAACATGGAGCTTGTAAGTCTCCACCATGGGTAGAAAAGCATGAAGTCAGGGCCAGCCTGGGAAACCCAGAGCTGTGCCAAGATCCCTTTCACCTGGGGCAGCTGTCTTTTCCTTTTCATCGTCACTGGGTCCCATCACCTGAAACTCCCAGCAGGTGCCTCTCCGAGTCTTTGCCCCATGCTGGAAACGGATGTGCAGCACACACCCTTTACACGCAGGAATAACACCTTTGGGGATCCGGGGTTGCTGGTGTCTCCAAGTTCCCCTCATCCAGGCATCAGCACCCAAGGTGGAAGCAGGTCATGGCATGCCTGGCCCAGCCGCAGGCTGAGTGCAGATCTGTGGCGAGTGTGGGATCCAGCCCAAAGCACAAGCCAAATGCAGTCCACCAGGTCGAGTGGGCAGAGGCGTTGCCAGCCATGGAGGTCTCCAGCTGCCAAAGTGGCACCAGAAGAGCCCTGTGACATAACTGGACCCACTCGCAGCTTCTGTTGCTCTTCCTAGCTATTTCCACAGCATCTAGGATAGGTCCATCTCTTGACATTCTAATGACAATCCATTTACTCTGGATCCCGTTCAGAACCTGGACTCCGCTCACTTTCCCAGACCCCTTATTGCTGGGTCATATTCACAGGTTTCTCTGTCTATTCCCGCTCCCTATACCAGCTCAAGTCCACTCAGCTTCTGAACCTCTATTGTGCAGCACCTGAGACAAGGTGGGGAGAAACTACTGACAGTAAGCTCAGCCAGGTGCAGACTGGAAGCAAAGCTAGTGCCGCCCTCTTTTGGGGCATTTCTGGTCACTCCACTCTGCTGGGAGGGTTTCGTGTCTCACCGAGAGACCCAGGCATAGACCTGGGCTGCTACTTTCTCTCTTCCTGTTAGGTGGATTCCCTCCACCGTGACCCAGACCCAACACCTCAGCCTTCTCAAAGCTGCACTGCAGCAGTTTTAGCCAGAGCAACTGGGTGAGATAGAAATAAAGGACATCCGGCCGGGCGCAGTGGCTCAAGCCTGTAATTCCAGCACTTTGGGAGGCCGAGGCGGGTGGATCACGAGGTCAAGAGATTGAGACCATCCTGGTCAACACGGTGAAACCCCGTCTCTACTAAAAATACAAAAAATTAGCTGGGCATGGTGGCACATGCCTGTAATCCCAGCTACTCAGGAGGCTGAGGCAGGAGAATTGCCTGAACCCAGGAGGCGGAGGTTGCGGTGGGCCGAGATCGCGCCATTGCACTCCAGCCTGGGTAACGAGCGAAACTCTGTCTCAAAAAAAAAAAAAAAAAGAAAGAAAGGACATCCAAATACTTATTTCCAAATGAGGAAGCCAAATTGTCCCTGTTTGCAATTCAACAATATTTTATATACAGAAAACCCTAAAAGCTTTATCAAAACATTCTTTAGAATAAACAAAGTAAAGTTGCAGGATACAAAATTAACATACCAAAACCAGTAGTATTTCTACATACCAACCACAAACTACCAAAAAAAGAAACCAAGAAAGCAATTCCATTTATAAGCTAACAAAAACAAAACCTGGGAATAAATTTAACCAGCAAGGAAAATTATAAAACACTGATGAAAGAAATTAAATAGGTCACACACACACAAAATGGAACGTCATCCCATGTTCATGGATTGGAATAATTTGGTGAAAATGACAATACTACCAAAAGTAATTTACAGATTAAATGCAGTCACAGCAATAGGGAAAAAAAATCCTGAAATTCATATAAAACCACAGAAGACGCTGAACAGCCCAAATCAATCCTGAGCAAAAAGAACAAAACTAGGCTAGGCGTGGTGGCTCACACTTGTAACCCCAGCACTTTGGGAGGCTAAGGTGGGCGGATCACCTGAGGTCGGGAGTTTGAGACCAGCCTGACCAACATGGTGAAAACCCATCTTTGCTAAAAATACAAAATTAGCTGAGCGTGGTGGTACATGCCTGTAATCCCAGCTACTCAGAGGCTGAGGAAGGAGAATTGCTTGAACCCAGGAGGTAGAGGTTGCAGTGAACTGAGATCATGCCATTGCACTCCAGCCTGGGCAACAAAAGCAAAATTCCATCTCAAACAAAACAAAACAAAAAATGAAGCTGGAGGCATCACACTACTTAACTTCAAAAGAGTACAAACTTGGCTGGGTGCAGTGGCTCATGCCTGTAATCCCGGCACTTTGAGGGGGCTGAGGTGGGCAGATCACGAGGTCAAGAGATCAAGACCATCCTGGCCAACATGATGAAACCCCGTCTGCACTAAAAAATACAAAAATTAGCTGGGTGTAGTGGCACGCGCCTATAGTCTCAGCTACTCAGGAGGCTGAGGAAGGAGAATTGCTTGAACCTGGGAGGCGGAGGCTGCCGTGAGCCGAGACCAGGCCACTGCACTTCAGCCTGGCAACAGAGCGAGACTTGGTCTCAAAAAAAAAAAAATATATATATATATTTATATATATATATATATTACAAAGCTGTAATAAAACAGCATGGACCAGGCACAGTGGCTCATGCCTGTAATCCCAGAACTTTGGGAGGCCAAGGTGGGCAGATCACATGAAGCCAGGAGTTCAAGACTAGCCTGGCCCACGCAGCAAAACAACATTTCTACTAAAAATGCAAAAATCAGCCTGGCGTGGTGCACACCTGTAATCCCAGCTACTTGGGAGGCTGAGGTGGGAGGATGTCTTGAACCCAGGGGCACAGTTTGCAGTGAGCCAAGGTCGTGCCACTGTACTCCAGCCTGGGAAACAGAGCGAGACCCTGCCTTGAAAAAAAAAACCCAGAAAACCCAGCATGTAATAACCGCACCCCCAAAACAAACAAACAAAAACCCAGCATGTTACTAACATAAAAATAGACACATAGACCAATGGAACAAAATAGAGAACCCAGAAATGATTCCATGTATTAGTCAACTGATTTTTCAACAAAGGTGCCAAGAATATTCACTGGGGAAAGGGCAGTGAATGGTGCTGGAAAAACTGGAAATACATTTTGAGAATACGCAGAAAAATGAAACTAGAAGCGTATCATGTCTGGGCACAGTGGCTCACGCCTGCAATCCCAGCACTTTGGAGGCCGAGCTGGGCAGATCTCTGAGGTCAGGAGTTTGAGACAAGCCTAGCCAACATGGTGAAACACCACCTCTACTAAAAATACAAAAATTAGCCAGGTGTGGTGGCACACGCCTGTAACCCCAGTTACTCAGGAGGCCAAGACGAGAATCGCTTTAACCTGGGAGGTGGAGATTGCAGTGAGCTGAGATCATGCCACCACACTCCAGCCTGGGCAACAGAGCTAGACACTGTC